AAAGGCTGAGGTTGTCAAAAGAGCTGGAGGGAGTTAGAAATCCATACTCCAGTGAATTTCAAGTAGACTTGGGTGAGTAACTCACTAAAGTACCTCTGAAAACTGTCTATAGATATTGATTTTTTTTTTTATTTTTTTTTTTTTAATGTTTGGGTTCAATATGGAATTAAATTCCAGTGTTTGAGTGTGCACGGACGGGGGGTGGAGGTGGGGGTTGCATTCCTTTCATTTCCAGCTGCTTTTCAGATTCAAATAAATGTGAAGATGGAGAAAAGTGAAGCTATGGAACATTGCACTTACTGCTCTGTAGAATGGAAATCAAGCGGCGGTATAATGGGGACATGAATGGCCTGGTAGTCTGAGCCTGCAAATAACAGCCAGGAATTCCTGTGTTCTGATTCTCGGGCTTGGGCACCAATTCCCTTACACTGTGAATAAATCGCTTCACTTTCCTGACTCATTTCTTGTCATTGCAGAATTTGCATACTTCCTTCCCCATAGATGGTCATGAGGATTAGTTATATATTTTTGCCATGCATTTGGCAGGTACATTTTAGGCATTATTTTTAGTATGGAAACCTTTGAACATAAGACATCCACCAATTACAGAAAGAGGAAACGCCCCAAAGCTTTCATGATTAAAAAAAATATTATGAACCTCATTAAAGAAGGTGGCTTCCTTCTACAGCAAAGGACAAAGGCTCAGAAAGAGAGAGAGGAAAAGCCTACAACTGAAAGTTTAAAGTAGGGGTGGGCAATTATTTCGGGCAGAGGGCCACTTACTGAGTTTTGGCAAGCCATCGAGGGCCGCACGACAAGCAGCCAGGGGCAGACAAATATTAATTCTATACATTTTAGGGGCCCCGCAGGCTGGACAAAACGGTCTGGCGGGCCACGTTTTGCCCACCCCTGGTTTAAAGCTATACTAGAAATTAGGCTAGGCTAATGCAGCTGGACAGAAATAAACAGCTCATTAACTCCCCTGCCAGCCAATACCCTCCCACCCCCCTCTTTTAACAGAGAAGAAATTCAGTGGTGACGAATAAAAATAGACTTGGCAGAGGCAAGAGCTCGCTTCGACCGCTGGAAACACGGGTGCGGCGTGCTACGGGCCCAGACCTCGTGGATGAACCTCTGTCCTCCTCGGCGGCTCTGCAGGATCCCAGTTTCCGCGCGTTCAGGAAAGCAGGTAGCACCTGCCGGCTCTTACGAGAGCTCGACTTGGACCCAACGTGTCATTTGGAGACTTTTTTTTTTCTGCTCTGGTGGAAAACGACGCGTTCCTTTGCTACGGATGAGGCCCCTCGGGACAGCAAGGACTCGCTCTGCGCTCCCTTTGACTCGCAGGACATATTCGACGCGTGCAGTTCTCGCCTCTGGGCTGGGACCGCCCGTTCGGACGGCGTCTCCGCGCGGTCGATGCGTTCGTTCATCCTCTCCGTTTGCGGCGGCTCTCCAGACGGTATCTGCTTTCCGTTGGGATTAATCCTGACAACACCGGCCTGTGCTGTTTTAGTGTCACGAATCACGCTCGTTTTGTATTTTGTGCTGTGCCAAGAAAGAGGCACCCCTGAACTCAACGACCGGGGCAGCGTCTCGGCTCAGCCTGGTTTCCGGGACCTTCCTGAATCCCTCTCGAAAGGGCCTCGGGAAAAGGAGGAGGTCGGCGACTACCACTAAGACCCAGTCGTCTTTTGGAGTCATAAAAGCCGCTCTGTCTGCAGGCAGCCTGCCCGCCCCGCCGCCCGCGGACAGCCCGCGCCCACGCCGGCTGTTTCGGTGACTGCAGCCCTTATAAAGTGACTAGACGGGGAAAGGGAAAAAAAAAAAAAAAAAAAAGGCAAGCTGTTTGGGGTTTTTGGGGGTGTTTTTTGTAATGTCTGGTTACCTAACGCCTCTGCAGGAGGAGAAAAGCTCCACCCTGACTCAAAAATCAATGCCTGCCTGCCTGCCTGCCAGCAGCATTTCCCCGCCCTGAGGCAAAGGGCCCTTTGTGTGCCCCTGGCTGAGGGGGCAGGGGCACAGGGGAGGAGGAGGGTGGGTTTCCTGCTCCTCTTGGCCCAGCGCGGACACGCGAGGCCGGGCCGGGGGCTGCTCCGCTCCGCTCCGCTCTGGGGGGAGCCTGAGGCGCACAGAACCGTCCAGAAGCGGGGGGGGGCGAGCGACCCCTCGAGTCCGTTACTCGGGCCCCGCCCCCTCCAACCGCCTCTCTGGCCCCGCCCCATCCCCTACAAGGCGCGGCCCCCGCCC